ACCATAATTTCTACTGTCATCGCAATTTCGGTACATAAAAGCCTTTGGTCTGAGTCACAACAAATTTATCTGTAAATTACACCATAAAGGATGGGGAATGGACTTTCCTTTAAAAGAACAAACAGAATCAGTCATTTATGGGGACATCTTCATCTTAATCGACATGTAAGTGCAACCAAATGCAGACTCCATTATTGTATAAAGTTCTGAAGACTGTCACCCAACCCCACTCCCACCCTCTCCCAAGTTTAATTAAGCCAGTATCACACTGAGACTGGAAGGAAAACACAATGATACAACAATAAACAAACATTAATCATGATCATTACATACATTTTATTACATGAAATAAATAATACTGTGGAGCTTTCACCAGCCGATACAGGGCTTCCTCTTGGATAACATCCTAAGGCAATTGAGGGGTAAAATAATACTAATAATGATAATAATAATTAGTATGAAAAGGAAAAAAAGGGGCTTATCACTACATAAAGCAGAAACCGTATCCTCCCTCACTTATATTAATCTCATATTTGCTCATTTCTGGTTTCTTCTCACAGAGATAAATGAAAAGTAATTTTTTATTTGTAGCCTAGCTTGGGTGTATATAATTCAACTCTAACTGCCCCAGGGCAAGGAGATTCAGGGAAGAGTCAGTCAATATTCAATACACACTTACGGGACTCCACCAGGAAATAGGGGAGGGAGTTCTGAAGACTCTGGCTGCGTAGGAGCAGGAATAAAAAGAAGAAAAGGCCCTTGGCAGGACTCAGGGCAATGGCTTTTGTCTTTGCTTGAGAACAGACCAGGTCTCCAAGTGTCCTTCTGCTCAAGTCCTTTTCTCAGCTGACCTAAGGATCTCCGTGGTTTGTTTCTGAATCAGGAATGAGCCCCCTTGGAGGAACGTTCTTTTGTTTTTATTTCCAGAGGTTTTCTTGACATTCTTTTAGTGTAAAGACCACACTGGGAAGGACCACTAAATGCATAACATGGCTGTCCAGTCCTACCTCTGTGTGGAAATGACAAAAAATAGATCCTTCCCTGCAGAGATGTCCATGCAAAACCACTTCAACAGGCAAGACGTGACTCCCACTCTGTGGCCTTACCAATTGTACTGTCCTCCGGAGTTTGGTTGGGGGCTGCCCATGGCACCATCTTAGAAAGTCTGACACCAACACAAAGTCTGTCACACTGAGCAAAAAGATCCAACCTGCGGGCTTCATGATATGAAAACAGAGTACCAGGCTGAAAGTGAAAGTTGCTCAGTCGTGTCCGACTCTTTGTGACCCCATGGACTGTAGTCCACCAGGCTCCTCTGTCCATGGAATTCTCCAGGCAAGAATACCAAAGTGGGCTGCTATTTCATTCTCCAGGGGATCTTCCTGACCCAGGGATCGAACCCAGGTCTCTTACATTGCAGGCAGACTCTACAATCTGAGCCACCAGGGAGACTATTAGGCTAGGAAATATGAGTAGCTTTTGTCCTTTATCAACTTCTGGGCATGTAATGGCTCACAGGGGTGATAGAAAATCCCACTTCAGTCTTCTAGTGGGAATTCTGGAGGAAGAATTCCCTGTCACCTTTTGTGAAGGAAGGAGGAAGGTATCACTATGTGAGGATTTACTTCTGACTCCCTCTCAAAGGTTCCCCTGACTCTTCTAATCCTAGTCCTGCTTGGATGAGCCAGAGTTTTAGTGGCTTTATGATTCAGGGGCAGGCTCTGCTTCCAGGTTTAAAATGGGAGCTGTTGAGCTATGAGCATGAGTCAATGTGCCTTTGGATCCATGGCTGTGGTCTCTTGCATGGTCTCCTTGGACTGCTTGGCTTGGCTTTCAACCCAGCTGGGAAATATGAGAAGCAGGCTCAACTTGGGTGTTGCCCTTCCCCTGGCCAAGGTATCGCTCCCTCCCACTGGGAGTCCTTGGTGCGGAAGCTTGGGAGCCACCGTTGCTGCCCATGGGGCAGCATTTGACACCCAGGGGCAGAAGACAGGCAGGCGTGACTGGGGTTCCCCTCTCCTGGCCCGTGGCCCTTTCTGCAGGAGATTAACGGGGAACGTGGCCAGTGTTGAAGAGGCCACTGATGTTCCCGCCACTCCCCCACCACACACCCTTTCGGACAAATGACGAGAGAAGGAATAGGTGAGTAGACACACTCCAAAGCCCACTCCTGTTGCTGTCCCTCAGGAAATGTCGCCTCACTCTCTGCCAATGAATTTCTAGGGCTGCCTCCATCATAAATACTCTGATTAAAATGTAAATTTAGCCAACCTATCAGCTTCCCATTAAGGGGACTCTTTAAAAATGCCGTTAATCAGCTGAAAGATATGTAGTGAAATACCACTCATCAATTGTAACTGCTTATGACAGTTAACAAAGCTTTATATTTGCCCCAAACATGTGCTGATCTATCCATTATGCCAAGGTTCACTCTCACGCTAATTGTACATTTTCTTCTCTAATGCATTTTTGCTGTTATCTCATAGGCTAATGAAAGCCAGGAAATCAATAAATATAAATTATACATGCAAAGAAGGACTGCTGCGAACATAAAGTTTCTAATTAATTGCACTTGATTAATTTATATCCTTTAATTATCTTGCTAAGCCACAAACAACATAAATATCTCTGCAATCTGGTTATTGCTATGTCAGTCATAAAAAAGCAGACACAGTAAATCTATGAAATCTAGCTAACTGCATTGCCAGAAAACATGGAATGGCATAACCCATAAATATTATCGGACTTACTCAAGACACCGATGAATAATTTCAGCATGACAAATTAACACTAAATATGTTGTATGGTTATTTGACGAAGGTTATAGTGATGTGATAGGTTTAAATGGTGCATATGGAGTAAGCAAAAATGTGGATCTTACCAACAGGCTTATAAAAAAATCTGCCCAAACCGAGGAGGAGCACTGTAGCTAATGACCCACACACAAAAACCCAGTGTCGTTGTGCAAATGGAATACTTTCTGTGGGTCAAGCTGAAAGGCAAATTGTGAATTACTTGGTTTCTTCGTTTCCCTTTGATAAACTTGATCAACAAAGAATAATCCCACCTCTTCTGCAAAGGCAGAAAGTAAAATGTAGGAATTTAAATCCCAGGAACTTGACACCAGGTTGGGAAGAGAACTGAATGGAACATGCTGCCATTGTCTTAAGAGATGCAACTTTTACATGGAAAGTGGTTTCTTTTTATCCACACCCCCCCCACCTTTTAATTTTATCTGACTCTGCTAAGCCAGCCATCTGTCACTGATCTGAAATCTAATCCTCTCTGTCCACCGGGCGTGCCCTTTGTCCTAGGCCACCGCATATTACCAACCATCTATATCTACAACTTTCATAAATGTGTAAAAAGAAACTGTATCTGTCCTCAGCTACACTCAGACAAAGACCATCTGTCAGCCACTGCAGCTATTCTTTAAAAAAGAAAGCATCCAAAGGGATTTGCCCTTTACCAAGTAAACCCACTTAACCCTTCCAATAAGATTAACTGTTATTTGTTTCCATTAAATAAAAATGACCATGCTAATATACATTTAATAGTTCTGTAACAGTTGCAGGAAGATCAGCTCTCCTGTGGATATCTTTTGTAGATAAAACATACATGCATATAAATACCGGAATTATGACGGCAAGGAGATAGCCTGTAAAGCAGAAGGATGTTTTTGCTTCCTTCTTCCAGGCTGGGGCTATGAAAGAGAAGCCAACATAAAATATAGAAGCCAGAAAGTGCCTCCTCTCCTGGCCTTCAATTTTACAGTAAATAGCACTTCTGGATATAACATATGGCTGAACACATACAATTATTAAGATTCAGAGGCTATCCTCTGACTTCTGCCCTCTTATCACTGTACATTCTTGGAGACAGTTTTATGGCTGTTACACGGCACATTTCGAAAGTCTATATATGTGTGCTTTACAGATACACGCTCACTAGGTATTATTGTAATTATGGGAAATTTGTTGGCCGAGGGAAATAACGGCCGTTTCGTGACACTAAAGCCGAGCTACGGTAACCTTTGGGGATTTCTGTCTCCTGTTTTCATCCTAAAGACTGCCAGAGTTGTCTGACTTGGCATTTGAGAAGCGAAACAAATAATGCATTTGCTTCTATGGAAAAACCCAGGTGAAACATTTTTCAAATGTCTATTCTGTAGATGTTTGTGGACAGATTCCTCCAGGATAAACCATGCTTTTAAGGGCACATCCTCACAGTATTCCGCCTATAGGGCGCTGAGATATATATAAGATCTTACAGAAAAGCCCAAATGGACTTTTTGGCCAAGACTGTATATATATATCTATATAGGGGTGTGTGTGTGTGTGTGTGTGTGTGTGTGTGTACTTTTTTTAACATGAGCTTAATTTACTACCAGATTCTGTAGCCTTCACAGGCCCTTTGTGCGCCCAGAACTCCCTGTTTTCTACTCAGGAACTCCATGGATTGACAGAACCAGGGTTTTTGCAGACCACTGGGGTTGGGTGAGCAGATGACCCCATGGGTGGCAGGCAGGCCACAGAGAAGACTCTCCGGGTCTTGGCCAGGCTTCCCTATCGTGCTGGCTGTGGAGGTGGCCGGGGGTGGGCCTGGAAGGGCAAACTACCAGGCAGATGAATGGCTTTGCTTTCCCCTCCTTCTGAGCTTCTAGGTTTTCACCCTCACAACATTTCACACAGTGGAGCATTTACTCAGTTTCACGGGAAAGTACAATCTAAAGGTTCCCAGATCCAAACAGATACACCTGGCATTTGGCAATCCGCCCCTCCTTTCCTCCTCTCCTTGAGCAGTGATCAGAACCCGCGGTGACTGTTCCGGTCTTCCCCAAACGCTCATGGCTGAGCTGCAGACCCCCTGCCTACTCTCGGCTTGACCCAGACCTCTGCCGTGGAAGGTGCCCTCCAGCTTCTCTTCCTCTGGAGGCCCCAGCTCTGGTCCCCGACGTCCACTTCACAGCCCGCCGGGAGCTAAGCCCTGGTGCCATCTCCATGGGAGAGGAGGAGTCTTGCGCTGCGTTCAGTGCTAACGCCGCAGTCTCTAAGGAGACAGGTAAATCTCCGGATGCTGCGATCAGATTTCTGAGGGAGATCCGCTTCCGATGCCTGCCTCCTGGCTCCTCCGAGGTAATGAAAACGCAGGCCCGTGACAAGTATGGCCCCCGTGTGTTCCCCTGGCTGATGGTTGGAAAAATACCAATGCGTCCAGCAGGCAGGAAGTATGGATCTCCCAGTAGAGTTCACTAGATTTGTCATTTTCGATTTAACCGCACCTAGGTAGCAGCCGACTCACTAGGTTTGACTGCAATTACCTTATCTTTCCTATTTTTAGTGACAGGACCAGATTATTTTAAGTGCATTTTATAGAAAACCCTTCTTTACTGAAGTATAAAGACTGTAATAAAGACAATACAATGTTTTGAAACTGTTTTAAATCCTTCACTCAGCGTTGCTTCTACAGATTTAACATGTAGGGGTTCTAATCTTACTGCTACTAATTAGAGCTTTAGTGTAATTGTGCCAACAGGGTGCTTGGCATAATAATTACTATTGAGAGATTCTGGTGGCGCAGTAACATGCCTACATAATGCAGATATGTCTAGTATTACAGTGCAGTCACCTTTGTATGTTGACTCAAGTTGGATTTTAACCAAGTAAGGGGTTATTTTGCCTTTATAATAAAGCTTAAGAGGCATATACATATGTATGATTTAGGTATCCATTTTTCCTCTTTGACTCTTTTGAATATTAATTAGCAGGAACCTCAGAAGGCAACAGGAACCCATTTCGCTTCGCATATCTCACAATTTGGGGCAATTCACTCTGTGAAGAGAATTGTCCCTGCCTGTGTGGCAGAGAGTCTAATTTTGATGCAATGGTGCACGGCACCCAGATTGCTCCCAGGGTGAGGGTCTCTCTCTGGAGAAGTCCTGCCTTGTTGTGACAAGCAGAGAAAGGAAATGGGGGCTCGGGCCCACGAGGATCTGCATTTGGATGGAACTGGTGTCTGGTTTATAAGAGGAATCTCTGAAAACACTGTCTCGGTAATTTTCAAGCCCTTGCATCTTTGAAAATGTAAGCCTAAGTCAGAGAAGTCTATTTCTACTATAGCCTAGGTCGTTTTGAATATAATTATCGCTTGTTCCCTATTGTTTACTGTAAAGGGGATATCTGAAAAAACTGTCAGGGTGTCATATGTAGGAGGTGGGTATTTGGGTGGATACAGGAGGGGGGTATCTGGGTGTATACAGAGGAAGGGAAGGGACATGAGTATACATATGAGTCCTTCTGACTTAGGAGAGACGCCGGAGTTGGGCAGGCGGCCTCCACGGCTCCACTAGATTTATCAGGCAAGAGGCAAAGGGCCACACTGGTTGGTTTCACTTTCCGTGGTGTCTGAGCAAAGTGAGCTCTAGGTGATGCTGGGTGGCCAGAGCGGGGACTTCCTGCTGCTGAAATGCTGGTCGCAGAGACTCCGTGGACTGGGACCAGCACACTCTTATGCACAAACAGAGGCACGCTACGGGTGGGGATTTACTTTCTTTTTTAAAAAAAATATACATATTTTCGTTTTGGCACATATGAAGGAGTCTCTAGAAAACTGATTTCACAGAGCCATAAGTCACCTAAGAGGATGTCACCGGCCATTTAAAGTGCACTACAGAGGTTTTTTAATGTAATAAATACACGGGGAAGGTAGTGTGTAACGGCCCCCGGGGTCTGAACTACAGCTCCATTTAGCTCCCGACAGCCTTGTTTTTACTGTCCCTTAGTGCCTCACTTTTAAAGTGACAGGAAACCAATTTCTGATTACAAATCAATGGGTTAGGATGTCACCTCTGGACAGTGAAGTTAGCTGTAAATCCAAGGAGTCACCCAGGCTGCGAGGAAATTGGGAGTCAGGGTATGAAGGTGATTGCTTTACACAATGCAAAGGGAAAGACGTTTGTTAATACAGCGCTTTGTAACTGCCTCTCTGGGGCAATGCCCAGGTAGTTCCAGCCCCCTTCTCATCTCCCCTGACTGGTCCAGGGGCGAGAGGGTGGTTTTGCCACATGCACCAAATATGGCAGTAAAATGCTTATTTCACTGCTCAATGCAGCCCTCCCCCAGGCTGATGAACTAGCAGAATTCCTCTCCTCCCAGCCTGTACAGAGCCTTCCTGTTAACCAAGACTATATACACTTCTGTCATGCAAGATACCTTTTGATGAGGCCTCTTTTTTCTTTAAGCTTTTAAGATAATCTTAGAGAAATCATCAAGCTATAAAAAGAAATCAATAAAAACAGAAAAGGTTCCCATCACCCTGAAAAAAATCCATAACTTTTGCATTTTAATAGAGACGCTACAGGACCAGACCCGTCATTTTCTTTCTGATGTGTTCCTTTGATTTCCCTCGTATCTCACAGGGCTCTTGACTTTCTTGAGAAAGGGATTATTGAATTGTGTGTCTCCCTCAGATGTACTTGATCACTCAAGTATCTGTACTTAAGAATGTTAGAGTCTGTTCAGCTGTTGCCTCTTTGGAGCTCATTGGGGCTTGTCATCTTAATATTAATTGGGTTTTGTGCAGGAATCTGAAGTTCCACATTGAGTGGCTTTCAAGAGAGAAGATTACGCCCAAAGCCAGATACAAAGACAAACATATTTAGCACAACAATTATGATAATTGCAGAAACATTCTGTCATGAAATAACCAATCTGATTAAGGGCTCTTCTACATTATCAAATATTAATCTGATGTCTTTGGTCCAACCTGGTTTGAACATAAGAGGCTTCTTACGGTTTTATGTATTAACAGATTTGTAAAAGCTGGACATATAGAGCCTAATAGTATGAGACAGGCAAGCCAGTCTAGTAAAAGGATTTTTTACTGAATGTAATCCATTTAAATTTAAAATAGACACAGATAGGATCATAAACCTGAAATCAAAATTAAAACACAGCTTGCCAATGAGACCTTTTGTATAATTCCAACCACATGGCAATTCAGAAACATATTGTAAGAAGTATTAGTGCTCATTTCTATTAAAAAAAAAATGAGGTCAATATCTTGATGGTAAATCATCACAATAAATGTATAATCACTTGAAAGTTTCCAGACTTTCTTGAGACCCACACAAACTGGTTGGTAATAGAAGTAGTGATAGTCTTGCTAAACTAGAGAGTTAATTTTATTTGTAATTTTCAGCTGCTTTCAGCTTAATTGCACAATTTCCTCAATTATTAAAGTTCATTCTGCATACTTAAGTTCATTAGCCATTGTCAAATGGGCAAATTGCTTTGCAATTTTAATATTTGTTGGACAAAGCTGCATTAATAGGTTCACTCTGCAAACATAGTTTCTCAGCTTTTACTACAGTATCCACTGATCACTGTAGTCATCCAAATCAGGAGTCAGGAGCTGTATTTTTTTTCTCTTTTTATGAATATCTCTTAAATGTTAGTTACACAGGTAGGCTCTTTTGTTTGTTTACTTGGGAGGGAGGGAATTGGGGAGGATGGCAGTCTTGATAAAAAGTGTTGCAGTCTTGCATATTAAATGTGAAAAAGTACACAGGATGGTGAAATTTCTCAGCATGCCTATGCAATCTGCATAAATATGGTATAGTCATATACACATGATTTAAGCCTATAAAGACACAATATGTGCTTCTGAATCATCAATGAATTTGATTTTCAATCAGGTTCTATGCTGTAAAAGTTGTTGAGTCATTATGCTATATATAGTATGATTCTGTCTGTACATTATACTATATATATATGTGTGTATATATATATCTCTATGTATTTAAATCTTTCCCTACAGAAATACATTCCATGGTGTAACTTCTGGCATTAGAGACACTTTCTCAATCTCTCTGTCTCTCTCTGTCTCTCCTGACCCTCCAACCTCACACACCACCACCACCACCACATAAGAGCTATTTAACACATGTGTATGTAGATTTATTTAAACATTCATACATGCCCTTTTAGCAACAACGCCACTTTCTATTTGCTTCCCCCTTGCAGTTATAAAGCACCTTTGCCCCCCGCATTATCTCATTTGATTAATGAATACACATTTGCTCCCCACTCCCACTGTAGATGCACAGTTTACCACACCGTCTTCCAGGGAAAACGATTCTTGAAATTTATCAGTATCTTTCTGTGAAAACAAACACACCCCACCTGCTTGGTCTCTGTCTGTCCTTACGCACACACTCCCTACAAAATGTCTAGGTGCAAATAGCTCCAGATCTCAAGGAAGGTAACCCCTGCCAGCATGGTTTATCTCCCCAGTAATTAGGCTTGTGTTTCTGCTTTATTAACTCGGCTACAACAACGCCCTGCCCTCTGTCACCAGGGGGACTAATAGATGATCGTCACTCTGATTTGGAAACCGTACAAATTAAATGACAAAGTGAGAGGAAGTGAAGTTAAGGCAAATTGTGTAAAGATAAGGCAGTCAGTCATTTATATGCTAGGTTTTCAAATGCTTAAGCAGGGGTCTTTTGATTTTACATCTGCAGATGCAAAACTGCTAAAATAAATAAGCCCTGTGTTCTTCCTGTTTGTTAAACCTCAATGATATGTGAATTCTTACACGATGTTAAGAAATAATTGATTGTGTATGTTTAAAACCAGGATCGCTTCTTCTTCTCCTGAAGTCCCATGTTTCAATCCCTTCCCTGAGAAGGATTTTCTTCTCTGAAATTGTGCCTGTGAATCCCTGAGTTTATTATTTTCCCAGGAGCACTTCAACAGGTTTCTGTCTTCATCTATAAGGCAGATTTGCTTTTATGTGTTTTAAACTCGTGTCCTGACTTTCTAGGAAACACATTTGCATACCTTATATAAGATTAAAATTACCGAAGGAAAGAAAATAAAATTGAATGATGGAAAGCAGAAACAAACAAACAAAAAAAATACAGGACGTCCAGCAAAGCTGATCCCCATCAGTCTGCTGCAGGAGCTATATTGTTTTGTTTAGCAATATGATTTAACAAGAAGCATTAGCTCTGAGTATGGAGCTGCCGGGTTAAGAAGGCTGATGAGATGTGATTATCTCCATGCAGAAATATCAGGGTGGTTAAAAGATAATTTGAAACAAGGTTAAAAATGAAGCAACACTAAGCTTCTCTCACTTGTGTCAAAACAATCACATCTTTTCTCTCCTTTTTTTTTTCCCTTTCACTTTGATGACATTTGCTCATATTGGAGGTGGAGACATTCTTCATAGCAAACTGTAATCCTTGACTAATTTTAAATTTAATGTGGTGCTGTGTTAAAGACAGGTCTAAATTTGATCCAAAATCAGCTTCTGGATATTATGGATAGAATTTGCAGTGTTTATAATATTTGGTAAGCCTTAAATATTGCTATTAGTGGCAGAACTAAAGTTTCATTTCACTATGTTAACAATATATTCATGGTATAAACAGCTTACGTTGACATAATAAATGACATTTGGTTAGAAAAATGTCTTTGAACTTTAGCTGAAAAAATGAAAACAGGTGAAAAAAAACAGCATCAACTATGAAAAGCCATATGTTAGTAAATGAATATACCTCATCATATTATGTAATCACTTTAAATATAATTACTGTTTCAAATGATTGAGTTTCAAAGTCAGAATATTCTTTACTTTAAAAGGATGTATTTCAGAACTAGAAACATTTATTCATTATCTTAAAAAAAAAATCCATGTAGCCATAGCTCCTGATTTAAAAGCAAAACAGTAAAATAAGTTAAGAAAGTTAAACATTATCTCTGTGTATATAAAGAGAAATAATTGGGTCACTTGCTGAAAACTTTAGAAAAGTCTGAAACAAGCTTTCCAAACCTGTTCTTTTGTGTAAAAGATAAATTGGGACGTTCTGCCAGTTTCAAAAGTTTAATCAACATTTAAGAAAGAGAAGCCCAAAGTTACTCTGAGCGAGGCAGGCAACTGTGTGCTTGCTCGGGAGGGCTGCAACATGCATTCCAATTTAAGCAAGGAAATGCTCAGCAATTCTAAAATGCTCTGTTCACATCCATACCTAAGGCAAAGTCTCCTTCAGGCTCCATTCCATCCCTACGTTATCAATCAGTTAGGATCAATTCTGTAGCTTAGTCCCGCCCAAACTCCCTGGCTTCCCCATCTTCTCAAGACTAGTCTGCAGGGCTGGCCATGTTTAGGCTGATACCAGGAGATGACATTAGTAATATCTATCCATGCTGGTCCATCTAATCCCTGTTGTTTTTAGTCATGTCAAATCCATTATCCCAAACAAAGCTGTGTACATCTCTTTGGAGATGCACACAGACTTGCCTTGCTTACTTTGAGAAGGCGGATTTTATGACAACATTAAATACATACTGAGCCCTATCTAATGGGGCCACTTGGCGCCCTGGAGCAACAGCACCGATAATTCCCATCACCCTAATCCACGGCTGCTTAACTTGCTTGTGAAAATTCATGGCCTTCTGGCTGTGCCCCCAAGATCATCACATCTCCTGAATTTTCTCCACAATTAAATATATATGGTCACTGCACCCAAGTGTTTCCAGCCATCATAGAATGCAACTCCCGTCCTCCCAAGCCCGGCAGCCGGCAACCCGACCGACCCCTTTCCCACCCAAGCCTTGAGTTTCATCCTGTCTGTTTTCATGCTTTTTGAGCCTGGTAAAAAGGGCCCCCCTCCCCCAGCTGTTTACTTAGAAAGAAGAATCTTAGGTGCTCTGTTTACTTACATTTTTCAGCATTTCTTTGTCTTCCAAACCATTCTAGCTCTTAATATGGAAGTTTTATGGGTTATTTTTTATCAGAAAATGCAGACCTTGACTAGTTGACCTGAGCAGTTAGGATGGGTTAGGTGTGCTTGGAAACCCTCGATTCCCCCCCGAGAAAGCAATATATGGCATATGGTAACATCTAGAGCCTGAAAACACAGCCAGTAAGAGTCGCGCAGACTAAAGGAAATCACTCCTTAATTCCACAAACATTTGTTTCGGTCCAGGAATGGCACTAGAAACTTTGAGCAGCCTGCCCGCTCCAGCGCCGGCCGGCACGCGGGGTCCATACCGTGCGGCACAGCGCCATCTGCTGGCCGGCTCCGCAGCCAGGGGGCGACTCGGAAATCCACCCGAGTCGATTCCCCGACCTCGGTTCCCGGGGGCTTCCTGCGGCTGGGGAGTTCTGAGTGTGCTAAAAAGGCGCGAGAGAGGGAGATGGTGCTGGAGAGAAAAAGCAGGGTTAGAGAAAGTTTCCAAAGACTTATTTAACTTGTAAACGGAGGAAGATTAATGCCTCTGGAACGGTCCCCAGACGTCTTGCCAAGGGCACAGGTTTTCAGATTTAAAGGTGAAGCTGAGTTTATTTGCATCCAAGGCAAAGAGTTGTTTTCCTTCTTCCTCTCTGTCTATAAAGCAGTGTAGCCTAACCATATTGTCTTCACAGCCGGGCTCTGCGTGCGTGCTTCTTTATGGAGGTGAGGCAGAATTCAAGCCAACTGTCTGAGTGTCGGGTTCATTCATGTCCTGACAGCGTGTGTCGTGTGTGTGTGTGTGTGTGTGTCTGTGTGTGTGTAGCAGGGGGTGAGGGGTGATATTCAGAAGTGCTTTTCGAAACACGGGGGTTGTTTGCCCATCCATTCCAGAAATCAGTGGAGGGCCTCCTCCCAGGGGCAGAATGTGAGGACTGTAGGAATGCAATCAACACACTTCTGCATGTTTCCACACTGCCTTGAATGGGATCCCAGACTCTAGGAAACTCATCTCTGATAGACTGTAAAAGACCCAAACTAAATGGACGGAAGAGGTGGTCATTATTCTTCAGGGAGGGCCCTCACTGTAACAGGGTAAAGTGCTATCTGCAATTATTTTTTAAGGTTACTTTGGAAATCTTATTATTCTCACTCCACCTCCAGCTACCAAGCCTTGTGCTAACTGCGATTTCCACCCTGCAACACTGACTTCCAGCGTCTCCCTCCCTTCCCTCTCCTTTGCTCTGTCTGTCTCCATCCCTGGAAACCTGTTCCAGACAAAAACAGGTTGGGGAGGGTGCCCTGTCCACATCACCTAGAGAGAAAGAGGAGGCCCATGACCATTCCTGAATACCTCTAAATGATGGTTTGCTTAGGCTCCTGTTGTGGGGATTCTCTGCTCCTCGGTATATGATGGCATGGAACAAGGATTAACTGTAATTGCTTCTGTGTACAGAAAGGACTAGAAATGATCTCTTTTCACCCGATCTCTCTGGGGTGTTAGGCACAGCACTGCCGATGAATGAGACAGTTTGGGGGACGGAGTGTCCTACACCCTCTGCAACATATAGGAGGGGCCTATGCCATTGGGAAAGGTGGCTGTTTCTCAGAGGCTACCTCTCAAAGTGAAGCAATGTTTTTAAAACACTGTTCCTACAGATGCAGTGGACCATTCCTTGGCAGACTGGACGTAGGCTGGTGCTTTCAGGGAGCTGCTTCCCTCTCTCTCTCCCACCGCCCCCCCCCCCCCCGCCCACGTCTTCGCAAGCCCACTCTCTCTTAGAAACAAATACAAAATCAGATGTGTTCATTACAGACGTCAAATTTAAGGTCTAAAGGATTTTAGAGACTAGCTTTGCCAGATAGCATACAGGATACACAGCTAAATTTCAGAAAGGTAATGAAGTTGTTTAGTATGTGAGCATCCTAAATATTGTCTGGGACATACTCAGACATGAAAAAGTTCACCGTTCGTGTAACACTCAGATTTAACTAGATGCCTGTGTTTTTATGTTTTGGTGTTTACTGAATCTGGCAGCCCATTAGATTCTCTAGTACAAGTCTTTAGACGGGAGACGAAAATCAACAGAGATAGAGAGCTATGCCCAGTTACACAGCTGTTTAGAAAGCAGCTGCTGGGCCAGAAATCAGGTCTAGAAATTCAGTTGGGGTCCTCTTGATCAAAAGCACTCCCTTGTCTTTCCCCAAGATAGCTGACTGGGGGCAGAGGCACCAAGTGAGATGATGTAATAAAACCAGTCCCTTATATAATCATTTCAGAGTGACCCTGCATGCTTCAGAGGGCCATAAAGTAAAATGCCACTCATTTGGAAATGCCACTAGTTTATAATTTGTGAAGTTTCCCGCCCAAGTGAAATTTTACATAGCAAACCCTTTCTTGCAGGAGACTCCAGCACTTTCTTTTTCTGTGACCATTGTTCAGGACGGTTTCAAGGGCTTTGTTCTATCAAGTGATTTCAAACACGAAAGCTCCCACTTACATACAAGCAAATACTATGCTAATTATTCCTCTCTCCCCACTAAAGCCATAGTTCTAAAGCCATTATTGTAGACAGGGTACTGTTTATCTGGATTAAAAGACTAAACAGATCATTTTAAAATGGTCTAATATTTATCACGGACTTAAATTAGTTATGTATCTTGAGACTGCTCTGGATTCATGGCCAAATAGCTTTTTAGCATCATGGGAAATCTGGAGGAGCTGTTATTAGGTGTTATTAGGTGTTGAAGAACTCAGCTCAGCCATACCCCATGTGACTTCTGAACCTCACTTTCCTTATTTTGACACTGAGGGCTTGACGCTTTATGGGCTTCCCTGGTGTTTTCAGACAGTAAAGAATCTGACTGCAATGCAGGAGACCTGGACTCAATCTCTGGGCTGGGAAGATCCCCTGGAGGAGGAAATGGCAACCCGCTCCAGTATTCTTGCCTGAGAAGTCCCAGGGACAGAGGAGCCTGACAGGCTACAGTCCGTGGGGTCCCAGACTAGGACACGACTTAGTTACTGAGCAGGTCAGTACCCTTGCAGTGCCTACCATAATGACACAGTTGGCTGTACCCCTCCCTCCTCCCAAGCAATCTGGCCATCAAAAGTTCACACCAAGGAAGGAAAGAAAAGGATGTTAATGAAACCAGTTGTAATGCAAAAAAAGGTCAGCTTTAGCTGCAAGCCCTGAGACTTAACTGCCAGTGGCAAAAAGGGCTCCAGGTAAGACAGAGACTATTTACACAAGGTCCTTCCTGCTAAGCCAACTGCAGTCTGAGTTGAGCAACTACCCCAGGCAGCAGAGCTCTTATTGGAAGGCAGAAGCCAAAAGTTTAGTGTGAAGGATTTGGACCTTGTACAATTAGATCACCCCAGAGCCGCAGCATAACAGTGGATCTCCGTGAGCACTTGGCGAAGTTGTGAAGGTGGGTGAGAAAAGGCCAAAGTAACCTACTTGGAAGAAGAAGAAATTGTCTGGCAGAGATGGCAAGACCCTGTTCTCTCTGGGAACGCTCTCCTGCATGCCTGGGGCTCACGTTTCGCTAAGGAACATGAAGGAAGGGTAAATGGGGCTGGATGGAGACAGAAGGGTGAGGTTTTCCCTCCCTTACTCTCCCCTCTTTCTTCCTCTTAGGACTTTATTTAACCTTCAAATCCCTCTGGCAGAAAGGCCATTCAGCAAGGATTATAGACCCAAAGCCCAGATGCTGGAGGGCCTTGAGCTTCGATCAGCTTGTCACCTTGAGCCTTCCCCGCCTGCTGGGTCTCATTCTCCCCTGAGGGAGGCTTGGCTCCTGCGCACAGTTAGTGACGGGGCTCTGACTCCCAAGGATGGATGGGTAAGTTCTTTTCAAAATACAGATCTCTGTAGCATTTTGTCCATGTCTTGAACAGGGCCAGTTCAAGGATCTGGCCCTGAAATGTGCATGGATTATTTCTACTGAAATGTTTTCCTCTGGCTTTGCATCCTCCTTGGAACCTTCAACACTTCAGCCACCTGATGAGAGGAACTAAGTCATTGGAAAAGACCCTGATGCTGGGAAAGATTGAAGGCAGGAGGAGAAGGGGATGACAGAGGATGAGATGGTTGGGTGGCATCACCCACTCAATGAACATGAGTTTGAGTAAGCTCCAGGAGTTGGTGACGGACAGGGAGGCCTGGCGTGCTGCAGTCCATGGGGTCGCAAAGAGTCGGACATGACTGAGCTGCTGAGCTGAACTGGAACCGTCCTGCAGCTTTCCTCTCAAGTGCACGCTATGGTTTTGCAAGCTCGTTTTTCTGCTCCAGGACTCCATTAGCCACGTCAAGTCTAGACCCAACCAAGAGCCCAAGAACTGTGTGTTTTTTTTATGTTTTGGTATTTACTGAATCTGGCACCCCATTAGATTGTCTAGTACAAGTCTTTAGACTGAAAACTAAAATCAACAGAGACAGAGACTTAAGTAGCACATTGAGAAGAAAGACACCACTTCCACAACTTGATCAGCCACTTAGGACCTGTTGTTTCCGAAAGATTAGAAAACATCCCAATTGGTGGCTGATCCCAATTGGTCACTACTATTTACAAGGGTTCCCTGTATGGAAAGTCTTTTGCACTCAGCTCTCATTAAGTACTATAGTCCCACATTATGGATGAGTTACTAAGGCCAAGAAAGGTTTAGTAACTTGGATAACATCACTACTATTAACTAGGAGAGGCAGGACTAGAAAATGTTTCACTGCCCCCTAAAAGTCCAAGTTCACAACTTCTGAGAATAACCAACTTCAATTGAGCACCTACTGTGTGCCAGGTACTGTTATGTGTGCTTTATGTATACTATCTCAATAACCCCCCTCAGTGACCTTGTGAGGCAGGTACTGCTGTGAAACCCATTTTGTAATGAGGAATGTGACAGATGGGAGACTAAATGAAGAATTGGAGTCGTTAGCCACCCACCTAAATTGTCCCTCTGGATCAGTGGAGGCTATTGGCCTCCCTTCTAATCAACTTTACCATAAAGACTTGCATAAAAGTCACAAGACAAAATAAAATAGAAAAAATCAACAGCAGCAACACCTAGCCCTCTGCCTCCCAACCCCCAAGTCGATGGTGATGTGGACCTTCTTCAGCTCCCTGTGGAGGTGCTGCCCTCCTCTTCCCCTCCGTACAAAAAGAAGACTGGAGGGGACAAGATGTGCCCTTCTGTGACCCGGGTTCCTCTTGTCCCCGTGGAAGACAACGGAAAATTAGCTCTTTAAACAATTGTGCAATCCCTTTCATTCTGTCTTTGTCTCTCTCTCTCCACACACACAGACACACACACACGCACTTGCCCTCTCTGACCTGAAAATATTGAAAACCCAACTTCTGGAACTCTCCTCTGATTCTTAGGTTCAACACAGGACTCCAGCTTAGGATGGAGACACTCTGGGCCCATCAGCTGCTGTGAGTTGGCTTCTGGGCTCCAAACCCCAGGCATTAACCCAGAGGCCCGCCAGCCCCCTTGCTGCCTGATAAGAGTGCAACCCTAAG